CCCCCCCCCTCCGATTGAAGAATTTGCACTGAGGGGCATGTGGGGGCTCCGTCCCATGTGCGGTGACTGCTGCTGCTACAAGATCTATGGTAATTATGCAAGAGCAGTACCTACATGTCCCATCACACAGCATTGCCATGGTACACTCAGCGAGAGGTTCACACACACAGCTTCTGTGCGTACGAAGGTGTGCACCAGCAGCACCAGCACCAGCACCAGCAGAAACACACTTTGTTTGATAGAGCCTCCTCTGGTGCTGCCTTGCGATGGAGCCCCTTGTACGCTAGATGTAGGTCACGGCAGTCAGTCTCTTGTATGCACGCACAGTACCACGCCAGGTACAAGACCTCATACTACATTCTAGATGGAGTCTCCTCTGCTGCTTTCATTGAGTAGCCATGGAAAGCTGGGTGACAGCAGAGCCTGTTGTCTGCTGGGACAAAGCAGTAACTACTACTATAACAGTCCACCCAAGGGTACCGGGAGGGGGGGGGAGGAGGGGGGGGTGTACTCTTATGTTTTGCATGCATTAGCGGTTAGACCATTGACCACGCGTCCTCGAGAGGACGGAGCATTGTTCCCACAGGACCGATCACCGATGGCCAATCGTTCCTTTCTACTTTGCCAAAGGTGGCTCAAAAATGTCTTCCCTAGTCTGTCTATCCTAACGATATCCCTTCCCGCCTTTTCAACCCACCTCCTATGCCCCAGTACAGCTACCGTCCTTTCCTCTCTATTCCATGCCTCAAACATCTCCCTGTACGTTCCATCTATTTTTCCCAGCTCAGTCACGTACACTTCCCTCTCCTTCTTGTACAACGGACATTCCGCGACTACATGAACACGGTCTTCGCATTCGAAGCCGCAATCACATTTGAACTCGTCGTCTTCGTCGTCTACTGTCCTCTGTCTTCGCCGGCGTTCTCGAAGGCCGATGTCCCCGGTCCTGAGTTTGACCTTAAGCTTTGTTCCTGCATCCATTGGTGCATGTAGGTAATCCTTGAACCCTATTCCTTCCTTCAACATTCCGTACACTTCGAGACCCTCCTTATCCTTGGTTTCTTTCCTTAGATTCTGTTCTCTCTCGGCACAACCAACAGATATATTCTCCTTGAACTCCTTAAGACCCTCCGTTTCCAGCGTTTCATCTTCGTCGATGTCGAGCCCCTTCCATAGGTCCTCGTCAACCTTGACCCATTCCGTGGGTTGTCTACCCCTCTTTTTGTTTGCTCACTTTGCCTCCCATGGAATTCTCGGCAACCTCTCCTCTCCCATCCCGCACATGCGATACTGCCCT